ATGTGTGTGTGTGTATATATATATATATATATATATATATATATATATATATATATATATATATATATATATACATATATATATATATATATATATATATATATATATATATATATATATATATATATATATATATATATATATATATACACACACACACACATATATATATACATATATATATATATATATATATAAATATATATATATATATATATATATATATATATATATATATATATATATATATATATATATATATATATATATATACATGCAATAAAAGAAAAGATTTTAATTCTCCCTTTTCGCACGCGCGAAACGAGCTGAAGCCACGACCAGATTACCGCGCTTAATGGCCGGGACGAAACATATATCACCTAAAGTAGAACGATGAGGCGATATACTTGCTAATTAAGCTTTAATTTGGATCCAGTTATCAGCGCGTCTCATTATTCTTCGAATTAATTGTTTTTTTTTTCTTTGTAGCTTCAGCCATTTACTCTCTCTCTTTCTCTCTCTCTCTCTCTCTCTCTCTCTCTCTCTCTCTCTCTCTCTCTCTCTCTCTCTCTCTCTCTCTCTCTCTCTCTCGCTTTTTTACCTCCCTCATTCTTTCACTCCTTGTCCCTCTTGAAGCATCCCCACCTCTCGTTTTCTCTCTCCCTCTACCCCTCCTCCCTTCCTCTCCCTCTCTTTCAGCTGTTCCTTCCCCTCAATCTCCTTCACTCTCCCTCCCCCTCCCCCTCCCCCTCCCCCTTCTTCTCTCTCCATCCTCATCTCTCCTCATATTCACTTCTCCCTCCACATCCCCCTCCCCCTCCTTCTCTCTCTCTCCCCCTCTCTCCCCATATTCACTTCTCCCTCCCCCTCCCCCCCTCAGCACCGAGTCCGCGAGAAGGAGATAGACATCAGGATCTCGGCGTCGGGCGTAGGCAATGGCTCGCAGGTCCTCTTCGACTTCAAGAGCGGCGCCTTCAAGCCTGTGCCGAGCCAGGATATGGTTTTCGATCTCCTTTCGCTTCCGTCGAGGACCGTGCACAAGGAGGATCTCGAGAGGGAGGAGAGAAGGAAGGACACGGCGTCTATGCACGGAGGTTGGTAGGCTTTGTGTGTAGTTTTAGAAATTTGTAAAATAAATGAAATAGAGTTAGTTTTATCGTTCAGTTAGAAAAAAAAACAACAGACGTATACTATTTCATCCAGAACTTCATCCGCTGTTGATTTATTCTAAACATTACACGATCCGATGTCCCACAGAGAAAAAAAGTGAAGCGGAAACTCAAGAAAATGACGAAAGCGCGAAGGAAATGGAGGAGCTGTACGGGAGCTACATGACGAAGGAGGAGCTGGCGAAGTTAGACGCACAACCGAACCCGTTCAATTACAGTGATCGTGTTTCGCAGACTTTTCGTGTGGTTATGAAGGTGAGGTCGGCAAGAAGTTTTCTGTTTAATTCGTCGGAGGTTCTGTTTTCTGTTTTGAGTTTGGTGTGGCGCTTTTATTATTTAATTTCGATGCGTTTTCTGTTTTTTTTGTTGTTGTTGTTTTTGTTCTATTTGTGATATGTAAGGTTTTTAAGCGGATTTTTTGTCGTGGTATAGTCGTAGTTCACATTTAGATCTGCTCTGCATCAGACAAAGCCCACTCATGTTCTAACTTCAATCAAAATCGTCCAATCTACTCTAGCATATTGAGTTGAGTTAATTAAATGTTTCATTACCGCCATTAGTTTTGTCCATTCAGAACATCAGCTGTCATTATTACAGTTTTCCTCCTGTATCCTATTTCATTATAATTGTCTAACGTACAAATTCCAACTTCTTCTTCCCCGAGATCTACTTTTGTTTCTTGCTTATCCCTACCTCCCTCTTCTACTTTTCTTACTCTCTGCCCCCATCTATTGTCCGCTCCATCTGCCTCCCTGCCTTGTAAACCTCCTCCAACCGCGACGCCTCCCGCAGGACCTCCCCATCCAGACGGACCCTCCTCCGGGCACGACCTTCTCCGCCAATGTAGGATTTTCAGACATCTACGACGCCTATGAAAAGGACTACGAGAGGGTCCTGGCGAGGAGGAAAGAGGAGGAAATGAAGAGGGAGAAGGAGAAGGAGAGAGAGAGGGACAGGAAGGCTGGCAAGTCGGTGAGTTGAGAGAAGCGGATTTGCGATTTCCCGAGGAAAACGTGCGGCTGAAGTGTGTGCTTTTTAAAAGAATGTCACGGGGTTAAGACAGTTAAATTGTTTTAAATTCGTTTTAAAAAATCATCTTCATGATGTTTGTCGGTACACTATACATAAAGGCTTTAAATTTATATTCTTCAATGTACATCAAGAAGAAAAAATATGTTTCTTTTCAGGACGGAACTACAAACGTTTCCAAATGTCCACAATGTTGTCAAGGCCTCACTAGAAAAATACACGCCCCTAACTTGATTTCAGTCCGTAGCTTTTCAAAAGGATTTTCAGGGGCTGATTTTTTCTCCAAAATTAACTCTCAACTT